CTGAAAGGTTGACTGGTCAGCAAGCGCGTACACGGAGGTAATAGCACCCACCTGGCGTAGTTGTCCATGATGACGGCCATGCTGTTCATGTTGAGGCGATATGCCTTGGGCATCATGCCCTTGCCGAACCGATACGTGACGTGGTTCGAGCACAGGAGCGCGGTGATCATCACAATGAGCTGCGCGGGGACAGCGCTGAAGGCGGCGGTGTACCAACGCTCGAGGACCATGCGCTCGAATCTGAGGTATGGGCCCTTGCATCCGGGCAGGACGCTGCGGGCAAAGCACGTCTGGCTGACGGTCGCCTCTACGAAGGGATTGAAGTAGCCGCAGCAGCCGAGCTGGTTCTGGATACGGAGACGACCGGAAAGGCCAAGGGAGCGAGACCACTGGGAGTTGATCTTGCCCTCGAGGTTGAAGGTGCGCTTCTTGTAGGTTATGTAGCCGGGGGTAACAAGTAGCGCGAAGCAGATCCAAAGGAGGAACGAGTACCAGGCGAGGAAAGCCCGGTTGTTGAGTATGATACCGGACCAGCCAATGACGGAAGTGAGTACTGCGAGCGAGGCAACAGTCGTACTGATGATGAGCTCGGTGGTGTTGCCGACACGGATAATGTCGGCATGGGTCCAAACGTTGAACCAGATGAGTAGGCAGGCAATCAGGCCGGCGAGAGAATACGCCGAGAACTACATTGAGAAAATTTGGTCAGCGAAACATGGTCCTGAAAAATGGGCAGGGAAGCAGTCAGAGCATAATTTGACACGTCGCTGTCGTTTTGACGTGGTGGAATGTTTGAAAGCGCGGCGTTCATGGGGTTAAGCGACAATGCCCCCCCCCAGGACGCCGGCATCCTCCCCCACGTCTACGTGCGCAAAGAAAACAACATTTGTAGAGATCATGAGCATCCAAAGAGTGATCAGCAGTATCGCGTGTGCGTAGCTTACAACCCGAAACAGCAGACGATGAGCAGGGGACAAAAAACAGCGTACTCACGAGCAAGTTCGAGAGGAAAAGACACCACTTGAACCTGTTCCACCGTGCCTTCGGTTTTGTACGACCGCCCTCTTTGTTCCCAAAGACTTCGACGCCATCGTAGTCATCGTCGCCTTCTCCGGGCATGCGCGCCTCGTTGCTCTTGAACGCTTCTCTCCCACCGCCCTGCTTGGGCACCATGTAGCCGCCGGCGCCCTTGCCATTGCGCTTGCGTCGCCCGACGACGGAGCTAGAGAACTTGGAAGGGAGGTAGTTGATGGAGAGTGACGGCGAGTTGTTCAACAGCGGGATATCGCCAGAGGAGAACGAGCGTGTGGATTCGCGCCGGCCGGCAAAAGGAGCGGAGGGGGGCTCGAGGCTGGGAGAGCTCATGCCTGCCAGTATGTACCGGGACGAGGCGGCGGCAGAATGGTGGAAGTGCGAGTGAGAGTTCACCGACGAGGTGCGGGAATGGCTATAAGCGAGAGGGTGGTATTAGCGACCGTTCCCGGCATGCCAGTAGGGCGCACGGCACGGGTGACATCTGATGAAAGAGTCCTCCACGGTGCGTGAATGCGAGACTTACCCCGGAGTGCGATCCATCTAAGTAGCGTCGCAAGCATGCGACGACGGTCAGGAGAGGGAGGGAAGAAAACAGGAAACGATGAGCAGCCCGAGTATATCCCCGCCCATTTTCGTACGCACCACGGGACCAGTGCTGTCATGTTCGAGTCGATCATTCGAATCCGAGTCCAGATACAGCGACCACACACGATCCATCCACGGGGTACCACCTTGCAAAAAAAATACAACAGGGAGAGACCAAGCTGGGCAGAATAGTGCCGTGCACGCTGGGGAAAGCGGAGTATTTGGCTATACACCCCACACCCTCAGTCCGGATTGAGTTTATTTTCCTTTCGATGACACGCACACGGCACACCCTTCGAGCCCTTAAGTCCGCAATGTCATACGACAGGCAGCTCAGACCAGATAAGCCCGAACGCACGAGTCGAGCTCCGCAAGCCTACTTCTCTGTAGAAATATTCTATTCTGCAACCTACTGGCCGAGAGCTAAGAGCCAACGACAGTGCCAGCTATGAACAGAGCACAGAATGCAGGGAGCAAGAAGACGGCAAGCGGATCATTCCTGTCTCGAGGGAACTGTGAAAAGATAACAAGCAGTGGTTCCAATGGGCTGAGAGCTACATCACCGACGTGTTCCCATC